TGCAATTGGTGCTCACCGCAGAGCTAAATGAAGTCCAGCACCCCTTCTCTGGAGTCTGGACGGAATGGGTGGAGTTTTTTTTTTTATTATTATTATTTTATTTTTTTGTAATGGTTGGAGCTTGACCTGGTCTAGCAACACCCATTGCGTGGTTACGTCCAGCGAGGGGGACCTGGCCTGCGTTCAGCCCTGACAAAACGGTGCAAAACGTTTTTTAAATGGAAACGGTGGTGCGTTGAACACCCTGTTCTGATTACGCAAGAGTTGCAACTACGGCAGCTGAGAAGGCCATTCTTTGTGTTCTTTTTGAAGAATTTTCGGAGCCTGATGAAATCGGTATAAATACATGTTTAATACTGCAAAATACGCTGGATGTTGTCGTTCAAACCGGATAACGTAGCAAAACGGTGCACACCGGTTTGAGCTTGAACTTGCCCCTGGACTTCAAGCTTCACCCATTAGTTCTGCAGTGAGCAGCCTCTATACAGGCTTGGCTCAAATTAATATTCACTCTGAGTGATTTTGAAGCCACACACACACACACACACACACACACACACACACACACACACACACATATATTTTCAATGTTTTATTTTAACTGTCGCATCAGCAGGTTCCTGATTGAGTTTGTGTTTCCTTTCAGAAATCAAAGGAGCCTGTGTATGGAAATATCACCATAAACAATCAGTGATGATCAATAGAGCTCACATGGATCCCTGACTAACACCTCTTAATTCACATTTATTCTGTGCCAGGATGTTTTTTTATTTATTTTTTATCTGTCTCTGTTTTGTTGTCACTGTATCACGTTGAAGATTTCATCTAATGGTTTTTATTTTTTCCTGTTACTGTTATGGCTGAAATGTTGTGGCTCTGTTTTAGTTTAATTTTGTGGTTCACAAACAGCACAGCATCCATAAACTCAAAATTTATTACTTTTCACCACATGGAAATTTACTAACTTCATTAAAATCGATCCCACCCTTCACTGTGTTCTGCCTCTGTGACAGTGACAGTGACAGAGGCTCTGTCACTGTCTACTCCTGGTTAGATAAATTTAAAATTGAATATTGATTTGTTTGCGATGTACAGTATATCACACACAATATGCTCTGCTGGATATTTTGGCAAATTCAGAATCATTTGTTTCGAACCAGTGATTCAGAGCACATACCAAACGTCACATTATTATTATTATTATTATTATTAATGGAACAAATAATTTTTACAAATAAATTACACCAGATATACAGGAATGGATAATTCAAAAAAGACAAAATAATATACCAGATAGTCTAAGAAAAAAAAAGGAAAATGCTACAAAAGAAAATAAAAAAAAGACAAGAAGAGAAAACAAAACAAAAATGCAACAGCAATCAGATATTTCTTCCTTTTCCCTACAGACAGATTCAAGAACCAAAGAACTTGATGTATGGCAAGAGCATTATATGCAAAGAATCTCTCCATAAAATTTAACAATGTATTATTTTATTTATTTATTTTGATTTGCTATTGACTAATATTAAAGATTTTTTTTCAGTGTCTCCATTTCTATTAAGAACTCATCACAATTAGATATGTTTTTAAATTTTTTGTTAGTGGATGTAATATTTACCATGCAATATATAGAAATTAGATCTAATATAATTAGATATAAAATATAGAAAAAACATTTGCTTCTGTGTGTGTAAGAACATATATAGTAACATCTTTTAGGGACAGCATATAATTAACGTTTCTTGGGTCAAATAAAAAAGAACTAACATCAGACCAAAATCTTAAAGACAAATTACAGGTAGGCCTATAAAACAAGCGTATCTAACGTCACGTGATTTCAGTAAACTTCGAAATGAGTTTTGAAATGATTTTTTTTTTTAAAGGGGTCATATGATGCGATTTCAAGTTGTCCTTTCTCTTTGGAGTGTTACAAGCTCTTGGTGCATAAAGAAAATCTGTAAAGTTGCAAAGATTAAAGTCTCAAATCCAAAGAGAAAAAACTTTATAAAAGTTAAGAGTCAACCACGCCTACCTAAAACGCCTCCTTCTAACACGCCCCCACATATCTACATCACTATGTGGAAATATTAGCATAATGCCGCCCAAATGTGCACGCAAAGAAAGAAGGCGTGGTTTCAGGAACAACAGTAGTGTTGATGCAGCCATGTCAGAGAGACACTGTGTGTTTCAGTGTGAAAGCAAAAGCACTTTATTTGGCCTTCCGGAAGTAGATGCAATTAGGAATCATTGGTTAAGATTTATTTACAACAGAACAGCACAACCCAGATGTTCGAATTTGTGCAACGCATTTTATGGACGACAGTTTTTTGAACCAAGAAGAGTACAAGGCTGGCTGTGCACAAAGGGTCAATTCCGAACTTGTTATGACAATCTGGTGCTTCTGAATCAGCGACTGTAAGTATGTTTTGTTATTAGTTTAAGTATTTGCTATTGACTGTTCAAATGCGGAGTTTTGCACAGCACAGAGTAACGCATCGTGTGTGTGTGTGAGAGTAACAGGGTTACATCACAGGAGAGTGAACAGCCTGTCAGAAATCATAGCACGTCAGCTGTCTTAACCGCGGCTTGTGTACCAGGGCTCTATGCTTATTTTTCTTTTTAGGAGCGCTTGTGCTCCTGACTTAAAAAATGTAGGAGCACAGTCAAAAATGTAGGAGCACCAAAATTTGATAAAAAAAATAGCCTTCCCATTACGAGGTGATATTTGACTCCTTAAAGTGATTTACAGTAGAATTTTGTTTTTACCTTT